TGCAGTGGTAACAAAAAGTCATCACCCAAAGCACTCCAAGTGGTAGCTGCACCTAGATGGCACTGGTTGCACTGTTTCTTCCATCTTCACCAATTCCACCTCCTAAAGGTTAAGGTAGGCAGCCCCATTTTAGCTATGATGCTACTATGGACAGTTTTGTCAAGCCACCTCATTGGCTGCTGCTATAACTACAAATTCAACATTTTCTTTGTGCATGGAAAAATAGTAGTATAATCTTTCAGTTTATAAGAAATGTAAGGAAAAAATGAATCTGGATGAAGTATTTATCTGTCCATCTAATTTATATGATCAAGTATCTACTCTGAGCTATTAAAAGTTTGCTTTTTTTCTTATACAGCAACAAAACTTCCTAGGCAAAATTCACTAATAGTTTAGTGAATAAAACTAAAACTATTGTGCAAAAATAAGAAAATGGATTTGAGACAGCTCCAAAACTAGAAAAGTGTAGTTATGGATTGACATAATGGTGATCTCAATTCTGGCATCCATTGAGAAACCTTGGCATGAGTTAGGTTTCTTGAGAACTCTCATTAACAAGTCTAACTTTGAGTAGGATGGGAAATCTGTAAAAATAACACAAATGGTTTTGAATGAAAAGTTGCATAAATATGAAGTACAAAAAAAAATCCTGCATAAACAAATGGAAGGTATATTCTTTCTTCAATAGATATGAGAGTATTCCCCATTTATTTCTTATTTTTGTTCACTGTAATCACTATATTCTTCATTTAACTCAATCTGTCTGATAGTTTAAATCAGACAACAGATAGCTTTTGTATTTCATTTCACTTTCCATAATATGCTATTATTTTTATCTCATCATTGTGCATACAGGCATTAATTAAATCATAGTTCAAAATGAATTTTGATTTGAAATATGAATACACCTGGATACCAGTTTCTACTGTGATTAAATCAACTTCTTAAAAAAAATCAAACTTCATCTGGCAAACAGTCTAAATTAAGTCTAGAAATAAAAAAAGCAAAAGAACAGGGAATCATTACCAAGAATTCTTAAATAAGTTAGAAGTTCAAATGTCACAGATATTATGAAATATGCCATATTCTGAATAAGCTATATGTTTTATAATATTATGTATCAATTGTTTAATATTTTGATTAAAAAATTAAAGAAAATACATATTGACTAAGCCAACCACACATCTATCTATATAATCTGCTCAGAATTGCCTCAAACTATGAGATGGTTAGCATGTAAATTTAATAAATGAATAGTGTGAGCAGCTGCAAATTCTTAAAGATTTACACTAGCACAAATATAACTAAAATATATGCTTTTTAAGTGGTATTTGAACCTTAAGTATTTATCATCCAAGAAAACAATTGCAGTTGTGCAATTTAATATCACTTGATCTGTAGACTGGGAAAAAAATGTTTCATCCAGACTTAGTTACACTCTATATAAATTGATTTAAATTAATCATTGTTAATCTATTCCATAGTTTCAATGCATGTATTCACAATAAAACTAATAGATCAAAATCTGTTTTTATGGGTAACAATTTTACTGGCTTAAGCTGTGCCAGTATCCAAATGACTTTCTACATAATGACATTAGCTACTGATCCACATAATATTTATAAATCCATGATTACTTCCAAATCACCTTGACATCATTCCCATTCAGATTCATTCTGTTAATCCTACTTCCATTTGGTCTGCTGGAATCAATCCAATAGATGAACTCTTCTTTGTAATCGAAGTCTACTGAAATCACATTATTTAGGCCCTAAAAGGGAAAAAATAACCTCAGCAGTTGCTGTAAACAAATTAATAAAGTTAACTATTCCTACAATGAAGGGAGATACTTAAAAAGGGGAATATATCTATTTTTCCCAAATGTTCACAATCAGCTTGGGGTTTACCAACAAAAAATGCTGTCCCCTTCAAATATACTGCCAAGTTTCCAATACCAGTCAATGGGAGAAGATATAAGCAGATATAACCACCAGTATCTATTCTCCAACCATCTCAATTTTTGATAGGTGTGAGACAGAATATCCGTAGGAGAATATCAATTAATGAGGTGTTAAAAATGAAAGGCCCTCTGACCTCCATGATGATGAGCTTCCCATGTATATTCCCAAGTACATTGGCCTTCGTTTCTTATATATGAGCCCTGGTGGCTCAGTAATTAGAATGCAGTATTACAGGCTAACTCTGCCCACAGTCTGGAGTTCGATCTTCATGAGCTTGAGGTTGACTCAGCCTTTCATCCTTCCGAGATCGGAAGTCAAGAGTGTTTCTCCTCTATATATCTTTGATTAAAGGTTAACTTCTATTGTCAAGGTCTAGCTTTCAGGACTACCAATCCACATGGATTAAGGCTGTCAAATCTAACCTTTTAAATCTAGACTACTCTCCCCCTTCAGTTCTCAAGATGAAATATGATTAGGTGAAACAAACCCTGAAGCAAAGGATAAAGGATACAGAGCAGCAAACAGATCTAGGGAAGGCCCCCGCATTCTTATCACCAGTACACAATAGATATATTGTCACTGCAGCCTACTGCCTTATACAGCTAGAAATACCCACTCATCTGAAAGCTTTCTCTCTTGCCTGATGTCCCCTCTGCAGTATTGGATGGAAAATTATATAAAAGCTGAAAGGCTTTGCCCCTGTGATTCTGGAGAGGTGGAAACTACAGAGCAAGTTCTTTGTTGCTCCTTTTATGAGACATCCAAACCAAAATCATCCTATCTCTGATGATATCCTAGTTACTCAGATTAAGCCTATGTCCAAATGATGCTCATAGATGACCTATCTTTTTTTACAATGCAAATAGCTAGATTTTGTGCATTAGCATGGAAGATCTGCTGGACATGATGGGACAATTTTCCATTAATCAAATTCTACTAATTGTAATACATTCAAATGCTAGATATTATCACTTTTTTGTAATTTTGGATGTTAGCATACTTAATGTATTTTTACTGTCTACATTATAATTTAATATAGGTTGCATCCTGAACCTCATTTATAAATGTAATCTTATTTTAAAAATGTATTTTAACATCATCTTAAACTTTTATTCTATTTATTATTTATTTAGATTCACAGAGTACTCTGCTTGTACTGGTTTATGTCTTGGTCTAAAGTGGCCTATGGTGAATTGAATACTCTTGGGTGAGGGATGTTCTTCTGAAAGGCAGTATTTATTATCTTTAATTTATCCCTTTAATTACTACATATGGCAGCCTAAATATGGCTGACTTCTGAAAACATAAAACAGACCAATTCTCAAGAGATAAAACCTTAGAAAAATGAATAAGAAGAGAGTAAGTGGCTATGAAAGCTAAACATGTTCAAGGATAAAAGAAAAATAAATCTAAAAATTCAGTGGGGTAAAACTAAAATTAATAGATACTTTAAAATAGATACCAAGCTTGCTTTAGCTGTGACCTCATGAGCTCTGCTTAATATTAAGAGGCTTCTGAAAATGATAAATTCCTATTGTTTGGCTAAAAGTGCTGCAGAGAAGTTTATAGGACAATATAAGTCCCCAGGTTTAATATGAGATTACAGTGCCTTCTTGTTCCACAATCTTCCTGGCTCATTCATGGAGTACCAAAATTTGAGGCCTTCTGACATAGTCATCTTCCATCTTCTACTGTTTTTCTCCTTCCCCAAAAAAGAATTTAGAATAGTATTCCTTGATTAATTGGTAGCACTAGGAAGCATCCTAAAATTTTAGGAAGGGAATAATGCTCAGTTATTACCTTAATAATTGTTTTAAGGGTAAGTTAAAAGTTACATTATGACCTAAAATGATGTGATTTTAGATCACAAATATTTTTGTCAGTGCAAATCTATATTTCCTTGCTATAGGAGACTGTCCAGCCTTAAATACAAAACATGCTGTTGCTAAAATGACAGATTGCAGTAATTTGCTTACTACATCTTTCCTGCCAAATTACTATATTATTCATTTTCAGGGGTGGGGAGATTAAAAACTGTTTTTGTAGATATCATTACAAACTGCCTACTTTTAAAAAAAGACTTCTTGAATATCATTGTGTTCAGATACTGATCTTCAAGCCAGGATGGAGCATCCACTCCAGGTATTTTTAATTTGATATGGAGTAGATTTGTTCATGCTATTTTAAATTCCCCGCAAAGTAGGCTACCATGAGGTTGGTGGATTGTGGTGATTCTGCATGAAATATACTGAAGGAGGGATCATTTGTGATCTTTGAGAAGTATATTAGTAACATATATTCATGATCCAACACATTTAATTTTTCAAGGATATAATATACTTTGACTGCTTGAACTATAACCGTATTAGGTGGGCTGTGTAAAGAAACTCTATCTTGCTTTAGAATTCTTCAGTTTTCTGGAGGTAACATTCAGTAACTATAACATTATAATTGAGTAGAAGAATATTTTGGCCTTAATGGTTAAATCTTTGTTCTTTTTGTTCTTCTCAATCTCTAAAGCACAGTAGATAATTAACAATACGTTTCTGCAGATAACCATGATTAGATTATAGGATCCCCACCAAATCTAGTCAAGCTGCACGTTACTTTCAATAAGTTGATAGCATTTTCTTTACAAGAATGCGTTCAGAAACAATTACAGAGAAACTTGTGATTTGAAATCCGAAATACTGATAAACAATACTGAAGAAACAAACAGGTAGGATTAAGCAAAAGTAAATAAATACAGATCCATTCAGTAAAAGGGAGCAAAGCAGTATGTTCTTGGTCAATAGCATTATGTTATTTACTTAAAAATTCTTTTCTCTTTAGTTCTGTATTAGCCTGCAAATGACATCTTAAAAATCCTGCAAAAATTGCATTTAAATATGTATGTAATACGTTTCAAAACCAAAAATCACAAATTGCTTTATTTCCCTATGTCCATAAAAATTCTGATTATTAGAATACTTGTATATTAAAATACAGCATAATCACTTAAAGAAACTCCTGTCAAGTTATACAGACAACTAATTTTCGTTGCAATATGCACACAGAATTGATTTCAGTGGTACACCCTATGTATAATGCTAAGTATATAACCCTATGTATAATGCTAAGTATATAACCTTCATATGCTAAGTATATAACCGTTGAGGAAATGAGTTAATCCTGTTGCCCATCTAAAATATTTTTATTCACTTCTGCATTGACATTTCCTTATGATGATGCTGTACCGCTTATGGTCACTGTACCTTTTTAAAAAGATTTATGATTTCTGTACACTGTCTAGGGATCCTTTGAGTGACTTAGAGAATACCTGTTTCATTGAAGTATAGTTGGATCCATCAGTACTAATTTTTCGTATTTCATGATGATCAGCCAGAATTAAGAATGGCTCTTCATCTATATGAAAAAATAATGGTAGTTTTTTTACTTAATTTATGAAACTTTGGAACTGAAACATAAACAGTGAAAAATTAAGTGCTGCATGCTATTATCATTAGTATAGATAAAAAATATTAAAAGCATTATACTTCAAACAAGATCAAATTTTAGACATAAGCTGAACAGGAGATTTAATTAGCACCTTTTTAGAGTACTTTAATATAGCCTTTGAAATAGGAGAAGTATTAATACTCTCTATGGTTTCACTTCCAAAATGAATTTATAAACACAGCTTGGCTTTCAAGGAACAAATAGATAATAAGTAATAGCTGACATAAAAAAGTTAGAATCATTTGATTCAAAATTAATGCATATTTTAATTTCCAACAATTAATGTGTGTTGACTAAAGTGGTTCTGGAAAAAAAAGGACTTTATAGTGTTAATACACTTTGGAATGTATATGTAACTATTGTGTTTCCCTGAAAATAAGACCCTGTCTTATTTTTATTTTTATTTAATTTTTTGCCTCCAAAAGAGGCACCAGTTCTTATTTTTTGGGGGGTGTCTTCTCCACTCACCTCATGGTGGCAGCACCAACAACCCCACCCAGCCAGCCCACTTCTTCTGCGGCCGAAGGAGCAACTTCATTCTGCAGCTGAGAATGGAGTTTTGGCCTGCATTTTGCAGTCAGAGGCTTTCTGGAAAGGCCTCTGCAGTCCAGCTTGGTTCTTGGCTGCAGAGGCCTTCCAGAAAGGTCTCTCTCCAAAATGCAGGCCAGAGCTCCATTGTCAGCTCAGAATGAAGCTGCTCCTTTGGCTGCAGAAGTGGGCCGAAGAGGGGTGTCAATCCACGGGAGGCGTGGCTGCAATGGTAAGCTCCACCCTCCAACCCCTGCCCTAGCTTGATTTTTAGGTGTGCACCTCACCCCAAACCTATGCCTTATTTTTGGGGTAGGGCTTAAATTGGGTCTACTCCCAAAAAATCAAGCTAGGGCTTATTTTGGGGGTAACTCTTACTTTCAGGGAAACACAATACTAGTTCTACCCATTGTGTTCACCTTACTTTGTTCCTGTTCTTAGCTGCCCAAAGTGATGAATTAGAGATGGACAGACACATGAATTGAAATAAATACATAAATAAATAATGCAAATTTCTTTAATTTATTAATGTGCTTTATAATCAAAGAAAAAAAATCCCACCCACCCCCCTTTCCACCTCCATCAGTAAACATTAGGGTAAAGAAAGCAATAATATTATTGGAAATTAGCCCCTATGCCTGATAATTATTTAGGAAAACAATGCTTTCATAAACAATGCAATGAAAACAAATGAATGAAACTAAATCTAAAATTAATCTCGCAACTTTTGCTAGATCAAGAACTTCTGAATGACACAAATTGCTATACAATTTTGAGGGACTAACTTATTTTTTTAAGGATTTTAGACAAGATAAAGAGCAGGGGTGTAAGTTTGCTAAGTGGTACCAACTCATTAAAGAAGGACAGGGAATGTTACGTTATTTACAGTCACTTATATCCAGTGGTGGGATTCAGCCAGTTCGCACCACTTTGGCAGAACCGGTAGCTAATTTTTTGTTGCCCAGGCCCAGAATGGACTTCCCGAAGCGGCATCCACACAGAGAACCGGTTGTTCACATATTTGAATCCCACCACTACTTATATCCCATTACCTGAGACAAGTTTTTACAGAACTTTGTTTTCAAATAAGCCAACAGCTTATTTGGATGGAAGATACAGAGCTTACTTACTGCACTATGCTTATGCATATGTAAAAACTTACAGATGGAATATCTGACCCATTACCTAGTATATTGCAAACTCTATCAAGAACCTACAACTAATTTATTATATCCTTGTTAATCTAATACAATCAATCCAGAACAATTTTTTTTGTTGCCCAACGAAGGCAAACATGTATTGAAACAATTGCATTGTTTGCAATGATGGCAAGGAACATACAAAAGCATTCTGACAAATAGCACTGTTAATATTAGAGGGGATGTAGTGAAGTGATTCGATTGCTGCATTTTACATACGTATTTTGCTAAAACCTATAGTTGCAAATAAATATTTTAACACTTTATAAATGAAGTCCTATTTTTTTATGCTTAATTGGACTATGACTTTAATAGTTTTGTAGCTGAAAAGGTTTACCTGAAAGGGATTTGCAGCCTTGCTGAGCATTAGGTTGCATTTCATAACCATCCATACACAAGCATTTGTAAGTCCCATATGTATTGATGCATTGCTGACTGCACGGAAAGCCAGATGAACATTCATCAATGTCTACACATGTTTTGCCATCCTCCTTCATATGGAAACCAGGCCAACATTTACACTATAAAGAAAAATAAAGCACATTTTGTGTTAAGCATGTAAAGGCTAGGGCTGTTTGCACCTTCTTATCTGCCTTGGTTCATGCATATCAATTTTGCTGAGATGTTTTTAAAGCATGTATCAAAATATCAGGATTCAAAAAAAAGCCCATTGCTCATTTTGAGCTTTTTTCCAACACTCACATAGGCAATATTTCACAGTATTATAATTTACTTAATTGTTTGGATTTCTGGAATATTTCACAGCAAAAATATGTATATGTATATAAAAAAGGTGAAACGGGTTCTTTTTCTGTTTCATAAAGCTGGCCAGGAGAGTATGGTTTCTAGCATAGTTCCTAGGAAAAAATGTAGATGAAAAGAGGGAATTGAATCTTTTCCTCAGCTTGAATTTTTTTTTGTTCCATTTTTCCTTAATCAGTTGTCATTCCCTCTGGATTCAGATAGATAGATAGATAGATAGATAGATAGATAGATTAGATAGATAGATAGATAGATAGATAGATAGATAGATAGATAGATAGATAGATAGACAGACAGACAGACAGACAGACAGACAGACAGACAGACAGACAGACAGACAGACAGACAGACAGACAGACAGACAGATAACCTTTATTGTCATTTTTTCCTGTGGGCACAATGGCACACGTTAAAAATGAAATTTAGTTGCTTGCTCTCAAAGTGTACACATACATAACACACATTTAAATATACTATATACAACATATGTATAGACCTCCACCCTTACATATAAATAACATATAAACATTAATCACTGTCCATCTTGAATATATAATGGAAGGAGGAAGCTTTTTCATAAAAACTGTTTTTTTTAAAAAAAAACTGTCCTTATGGTTTCTAAAAGAGAAGAGGAAGAAAGGATTTAAAGTTGCACCTATTACCAGGCAAATTGATAGCTCCATTTCTTTTGCTGACATACAGTAACAGCCTTAGCCTAGGGGATAGTGTTTTAGAAGCAGAGGTTCTGCCTCATTAAGAATCCTGAAGAAAGTAATATAAATTCAGTTCTACAAAAAAAAGTGACAAGATTTAAACTCTTAAAGTGTTTTTCAAATTTCTCTTTAATATATTATTCTGAACATTTTTGTCTGAGATCACTTTGACTGTAAATGCATTAAATCAATACAAAACAGAATTTGCATTTTTCCATCATGCCCCAGTAATTACAAAAGGTCCTGGGGGAAGAGGACTTACAGTGAACATTTTGACATTCTCCAAGTTAAAGTTAGAAGGCAGAGAGACTTAAAATAGAACATGATAAACTCATGAAACAGCAACAAAAATAGACCAGATAAAATTAATTCATCTTTAATTTACCAGGTCAGGTTGTTTTTTTAATCCTATTCAAAATCTGGTCATGCTGGAAAAGCACACCATTTAGTCATATTTAAATGGACACTTAAGTAAGCATCTATTCAGGGCTCTTAAAATTACAAAGTCCAACAGCTTTGGGGTACAGTCACAGTAGGCAGGTGATAGAAAAGCTATAGGTTCTTTCCTGGCAATTTCTAACAAAATTATATTGTTTTTACTGAACCAAACAGAGGCAGGTATTACTTTCTTCTGTAACTTCACTTACCAATATGAGAAATGGGAAAGTTACAAGCATTAGGATTAATGGTGATGGAGAAAGTTAATCGGGCAATAACCTCAAAATTTGGAATTTCTTCTCATAAGCAGATTTAGGAAGTTTAATGTTTATTAGGTATTCATTTAGAAGAACATTAAAATTTTTATATTTGCTGTGGTATTTTTGATGCTTCAACTATTAACTGATTTGTGGATTTGTCTATATTTATTTTGGATCTTTTCATTTTTTTATTGTTTTAAAATGTTTTTAGTTTTAGTGCATTATATTTTTTGAATTGTAAGTCACCTACAGTCATTGTCTGATGTGAGCAGCTATAGACATTGAAAGATAAATAAAATTATTTTACAGTAGTTCAATTGTAAAAATGAATCAAGTCTTTCCTCCCACTAAATGATGTGAGATTAACTTTAAACATAAAAGAATACAATAACAAACACATAATTTTTAAAATTACATATTAGACACATAAATTGGCATAGCCATCTACTTTAAAGTTATTTGTTTTTTTCTCAGTACATCCAATTGATGCTATTAGTCTTTAAAATTAAACAGAAGTTTGCATGTTCTCTGGACTTGGATTAAGAATAGAATAGAATAGAATAGAATAGAATAGAATATAGTGTATTATTTAAAACTTTTAAACTACCAACCTTGTATCCAACAGGAAGGTCTTGACAGTCTTGAGAACAGCCACTAACTTTCTTACTCAAACATTCATTTATATGGCAATTTCTCTCATCAGACCCATCACCACAATCCTGTTTGGCATCACAAACATCTTCTTGGGGAATGCACTTGCCATTTTTACACATAAAAAAGGAATTGTTGCATGACTGCTCTAAAAACAAGAAATAAATGGGTAAAAGGAAACAGAATGCAAGAAGTATGTAACTATTCATCAGGTTTTAAACTATGATCTACAGTTTAATTTACAAACAAATTATACATTTGCAATGTACTGTTATAGCTTTAAAATATTTATACAACATGTATAAATGTTATAATATTTGTAAATTATCATTTTTATAAATGTTTAAAACAATACAATCTAGAAGTATTAATGTGTATGGAACATAGAGCACTCATTTCAATAAAACAGGAGTTTAGCAACTGTCTATATGGTACATTTGCTAAATATAATGTTTGATTATTTTAAATATGAAACTTTGTTTATGGTGGATTTTTCTTCCTGTTGACTTGGGGCTGGCCTTAAGTTTAGAAATATCTGCACCAATTTCAGATCTGATTTTTCAACCAAACTTGGATGCTTCTCCCTGGATGGTATTGTCAGCCCTTTAGGTAGACCATACCAGGAAATCAACTCCACAGGTGGGCGAAAATTACTTCTATTCAAATTGTCTATAATAAATCTTTCAAGACTGAATCTGTTTACCTCCTCCTTCCTTACTGTGAATTCCTTACTCTCTATAAGTGCAATAGTATATGAGAATGATCTTGAGAGACAGGAGGAAGAGCCACAGAGTAGACCCCTGTCATGTAAAATATACTTCAGTTCACAGAAGGAGAGGGGGTGTGGCATTTCAAAATGGGTCCTCTCTAGTTTTTCAAAGAGTAAAGGAGAAGGAGTGGATAAATACTTTCAATCTTGCAAGATACTGTTAATGTAACATTACAATAAAGATAAAGTTAGTATTCCTTGTATGGATTATCTCATAGGACTGACAATAGGTACCAATGCCTTGTCTTTATAGCTTTTAAAGTGCAGGAGATGACCATGCTGAACATGATGTGGAGTCAAATGCATCATCAGTCTAGAGTCCCTACACCCCTGAAAGAGACCCAACTTTAGTTCTTTTGAGCCTGAATATTTTTATATCTTTCAACCTCTCTTTCTTTACATGTGCTTTGGATCAAAATGTGTCAGTTACCAAGTGATGAATTGAGGAAAAGAAAGAAGTCCATCTGGATTAAGAGATCTGCAATATGGGGCTACAGGAAGGACATGACAAATAATAATAAGAGGGAATTGATGAATTACCCAACAAGCATGCTTTTTCAATAGTCTGCAAGTAGAAATACTTATTATTTTGGACATAAAAGCAAAATTGCACAAATATTTAAAAAGCTGAACCTGCACTTCTGCATTTTATATTAATAGGATCCTCATCTGAATGATCTGGACAATCAAAGTCTCCATCGCATTGCCACTGAGAATTTAAGAGACATCTTCCATCAGCACAGATGAATTCTCCAGGATTACAATGGCGATAGCCTAAAATCAAAGTGATTTAAAAAATTATAATGGTATCTCAAATGTTTAGAATTATATATATATTGTAATCTTTTAAATATTTATACCATTTATAGCCTTACAATTTATCTTTGCATGCAAGGTCTCATCCACAAGGTAAGACAAATATATGCAGAAGTTTCTTCTTTCTTGTTTGCCCTTTTACTGATGCAAATCCTAGCAAAAATCCAAAATTTCATTTTTTTTTATTATCTCACCCATTGATTTGCTTGTTTGGGTAATGCCTGTGCATAATTAACAAATTCCAGTAAAGGATTACAGCCCCATAAGACTCTTTTCCATGACAGGAAGATTTTGCAATTACACTGAATGGCAGAAAAGATTTCAGCCAAGAAATATGGCACAATTTCTAACTATAAAATTTAATTTCAGTTAGTGGGAAATTACAAAAGGAATAGCAGCAAGCTTACAATTTTCTGGATCTCTAGGAATACTGTATTTGTAATTGAGACCTGTCTGCATAACATAGTTAGTGTTGTACATTGGAATTTAAGTTCTTGGATTTCTGTACTTTAGTAGATAGAAGACATTCCACAGAGCACATCAAAACAGACCTGATTTTGCAACTCTTGTGTATTCTACTTTTGATAAAATTGAAGGACAATTATCCAATCCAAAGCATGTAGTAAGCATTATGGCTAATTATATATTTGATCCTGAGCACTCTAATAATAACGAATTGCCCATGTACTACATAAGCCTTCCTCTATACATCTGTGATGTCTTGGCTATATCTTTCAAATATTATGGGTAAGGAAATATATGTTTTCCACTGCTAAAATGAATAATATCAATTATTTCATTGTTCACCATTAAAATTTTGTGGCCTATATTCTGTTATAATGAATATGCTAAATTATTAAAATCTAATTTCAGTTAGTGGGAAATTACAAGAGGCATCAAAGAAATCAATCCGTGGTATTGACAAATGTACAAGTAATTTACTTTGAAAAAGTAGAAATTGTATTGATATAAAAATATCTGGAATTCAACTTAGACTTAGGAGAAATATAATTCCTGTTAACTTACTTTCTTCAATGATTTTTCAATGATTTTAAATTTATTATTCTCTGCATGTTTTTACCTGTCACAGGTGTGACATCTATATAATATAGGTATATAAAAACATGTGCGTATTCAAATGCAACGTTGTGTCAAAATTTCAAAACAATCGGTGAAGAACTTTCGGAGATTTAAGATTTTGAACAAACGAACATTTACATTTTTATTTATATAGAAGATAATTGACTTTCTTTTTACAAAATCTAGATAATTTTCAAGAACTCTTTTATAGTGAATAATTGTCAGAGATACTTGCCGCATTCTAGAGATTCATCTGATCTGTCTCCACAGTCATCATCATGGTCACATACAAACAGTTTAGAAATGCAGACTTTATTGTGGCATGTGAAAGTATTTTCATCACAAGTATTACTGGGTGCTAAGAAAAATAATAAAAGGGGAAGAAGGAAGTTATCTTAACAAAAGGAAACATAAAAGATACTTTCCACATTGGACAATACTCAAACTTACAAAGAAAAATCTCAGACATCATAATCCTTTAACTCCTGCTACCAGGTTTCCCTCAGAGGAACAGAACAAAAAGTAATTTGAAGTTAACACAACTGGCACAAACATTTTAATCGCACTCATTAAAGATTGTCTGCATAGAATATTTCATGTGCTTCCTGATGTCCCATGTGGATTTTCATTGTATGAACAGGACTTTTGAAGTCTGATAATATGATAGAAAAGGAGGAAGAGAAAAAGCAAATTGGGTCATGTTTGTATACTCTTTCTGTAATGGGATAGTTTAAACTACTGACTCCAGGTGCAATGGAACAGAGGAAGAAATGAGAACAGTCAACAAAAATGTTGTGGAGATTTAAGTTATCTCTATTATTGTATATAGCAAAGTGGTCAAATAATTTCTTTTCCCCTTAGTTCACACTTTTAAAAAAGTATCACCAGCCAAATATCACAACCAGTAACACTTATTTTACACGTAAAAGGCATAAGCCACACTTCTGCCAGAGAATAGCATTGGGAGGATTTATAATATTTCTGTCATTTTTATATATTTTTTCCTAATCATTTTCTTTTAATGCATCATCTTAAATTCAGAGTCATCTTTCACTGAATACGGGATTGGAAGTAAGATTTTATTTCAACCATATGCCTTTAAACTTCTGTTGATCACTATTGTAGACAATTCCCTTTTCATTGGATGCTTAAAAACCTACAGGTGGATTCATAGCATACTGTATATGCTTCTAATTGAGAATCAGATCAATTTCTTTGGGTCTATTAAACCACAGTATTTTTGCCTTACCAAACACAAACAGCAAACATTAACATGTCTCATTAGTCAAAACTAAAATGGAAAATATGTTTTGTATATTTTACAAAATGGTTTTTACCACATCCTGCGGTAGCAAGTTCATCACTTCCATTAGGACAGTCTCTTTCACCATCGCAAAGCCAGTGTTGAGGAACACAGGCATATGAGTCTAAACAGCTGAACATGTCTGGAGCACAAGTTACTGAGCCTGTGAAACACATACAAAAGAATATAAAAAAACAAGCTCCTGATGTCATGATTCACAGAATATAGTTTCAAATATCCTTTTAAAATAACTCAACTGATGAACATGGCATACTCACAGAAAGAAATCACTTTCACTTGGGCACAAAACCTAAGGTGAAGCTTAGCTGTTTAGTCTAGTGGTTAAGATACCAGTCTAGAAAGCAAGAGACCATGAGTTCAAGTCCTGCCTTAGTCATGAAAGCCACCTGGGTGACTTTGAGCCAGTCATTCTCTTTCAGCCCAATCGCCTCACAGGGTTGTTGTTGTGGGGAAAATAGGAGGAGGAAGGTGTGCTGGATATGTTATTTATAAAAATAATAAAGGTGGGATCTAAATAAATAAATAGGATCTGCATATACTGTTGATTTATTATTTCCATCATCAAGACTGGCATTAGGAAAGACTAAACTGTATAATATTCTCATGAAGATACATCAGTGTTCTATTACTTCCAAACAGTGTATCACTAATATCTGAAGAAACTTTGAATTACACTAAAGTTTGGAACAGGCTATGCCAGACTTATTTATTGATTCATCTGTTTAATTTGTATAGCTGCCCATTTTGCATATGTGTCTTTGGGCAGCTCATACAATTAAAAAAACCCATACAAATACAAATAAATAATCAACAATAACACAAAAATGTTAAAACACATTAAAACCATTAAAACCCTAAAAACATAAACTTTCATCTTCTGAAAGGTGTAACCATTTCACAGGCTCCATGCCATTGCCAGATCCAACAGTTTTCTCCGGATACACTAATACGTCTCTAGATAGCTTTGGACATTTTAAAATTAGCATCATTACAGAACTCACCACAAATAGCTTTACTTTCATCCAAACCATTTCCACAATCATCTTCCCCATCACAAGTCCATTGTTTGGAGATGCATTTTTGTTCAGAACAAGCAAACTGATTCCATGAACAGGAGGAATCTAAAAGGAGATGTAAATTATAATGCATCCAATGCCAGCATTGTGAAAAGATATTTTATGCTCTTTATAACTGGAGGGCTAAATATGAACTGAAAATATTTTCTGAACAAATTTATCTCAGCTATTGTTCAGATACAGAGAGTTGGGATTATTTTTGCATGCAATTTAATCTGATTTTTTTAAAAAAAGTTTATGACTGTTTAAGTAGTTTTATAACTGTTTGTACTATAATGAAACCACATCTATAAACAGAAAAATGAAAGTCTGCACATAATATGTGAGATTATTGTAACATAAAGTTTTATGGGATCCAGTTTCCATTTAAAAAAAATCAATCAGAATAATAAAAGAAGCATCATTTTAGATGGACACTATCATAACACATATAATAAAAAGGTGGAGTTTCCATTCTGATATCACAATGCTGCTTGTATCAGTTGGGACCTCCTTCACTCCCAACTCATGGTCAACACTGAACTGTTCTTCTTGCCGGTGCTAGAAGAATTCATATATGCTTAGATCTGCTTCCAACATTATTTTGATTTATTAACCCATATAAATTCGTCAGAATGTCATGATGTTAATTTAGATTTTGATTTTAAAAATTAATTATTCTGTAATGTGCTCTGAAAACTCATTATCAACAGCTCTTTTGCAAGAAATGTTCATGGATTAATGATAAAATACTCACCACAGAGTAATTCATCACTTCCATCTTCACAATCTTTCTGACCGTCACATACCCAGGAAATCAGAATACATTTACCACTAGGACAGCCAAAATAATTTTCTTCACATGTATGCTTATTTCGAACTTCAGTAAAATAAAAGAAGCAATGTATTTCTAGTTATCATGGTATCGTGAATATAAATTGTACAATAAACAAAAATGGCAGTAATCAATAGAGTTCATTATTATGAAAAAAAATATTTTCCCCCAATTACCTGCGCATTTTAATTCATCTGAATAGTCTCCACAATCATTAGATCCATCACACAGCCATTCTGGTAGTATACAAAGTGAAGTAAAGTTACAGCTAATAAATCCTGAAGATTTCACTCCAAGTTTATAGAAATTTTTGCAATCTGTATTATCTGAGAACATAAAATTATCATATATTATAATATTTTTTTAAGTTTGATCTCATTACTGGAATTTATCTTATACATATTGTTCACTTTATAAACATTATATTGCCTGTCATTGATCAAACACAGGATATATTCTTATCACGTTCAATGTACCAAGTTCCATTGAGCTTATTGTTTATGTAAACTCTGCTGTATTATATAAAATGCAAATTAAGTATATATATATTGGTCTGGAGTGAGAAAAAAATAATGTATTATACACGTGGAATAAATCAATTAATTAAAAAGCAGAGTTCCTTACTGCAATTTTTCTCATCCAAAGCATCTAAACAATCCACAATCTGATTGCATTGAGCTGATTTTGGAATGCAAGTTCCATCTAAACAGCGGAATTCCATAGAAGAACATCCAGAAACTATAAAGGAAAGAGAAAGTGCGTATTTTTAGGGGAAGGGGAAAAGGGAAAGAATTTTTTTTAAAAAAAATCCTTTGCATTGACGAGGATAGATAGATAGATAGATAGATAGATAGATAGATAGATAGATAGATAGACAGACAGACAGACAGACAGATAGACAGAGGCACCTCATTCCAATTAACATTTTAATTATAATTTAAAATATGTATCAATATATATATATATATGTGCAGGTCTTGGCGTATTCGGGTCTTTTCCCAGACCCCAGCCTGAAGATGACGAGTGGGACCTCGTCGAAACGTCGCCAAGATACTCTCAATCTTACACGGGAAAAGACCCGAATATGCCAAGACCTGCATACCTGTACCCATGAAAATCTACGAATATATATATATATGAAAATCTATGAATATATATATATATATATATGAAAATCTATGAATATATATATATATATATGCAATAATTTGATGTCTAGAAACATGTATGTATGTATCTATGTATGTTTGTAGACATCAATATTTTTTGCCATCCCAACATTTTGTATTTAGATATCCTTGTCAGATTATTAACCGGCCCTAAGATGATAATTATTGATCCCATGTTATTTCATCCCATAAATGTAAACTTAATTATGTTTTTTAACAATATTTTATTTGACCAGATTTTTCATGTATGTTAACTGCACTGAGCAAATAATGAATTACAGTCCTTGGTTTCATCAAACACCCCACTCCAATTAACATTTTACTAATAGTTAATTTTAAATTTGTATCAATATTCAAAGTATTTTTCTGTAAAAAAAAATGTACCTTCACAACCACTTTCATCAGAACTGTCACCGCAATCATTTTTACCATCACAAATTTGATTAGTAGATATACAGCGCCGATTTAAGCAAGGCTTAAAACCTTTCCGACAGTTTCTGTTTTCTTATAAATTAGAACAGAGAAATAGCTTTTGTCATTTACACAGCTTTATTACAGCTGAAATGTTTTGGCATGCAGATATGAATCAGTAGCTAAAAGCATTACATAAAAAGAAGAGATGGCAAGAGAATCAAATGGAAGAAATGGACATGGAGTGGACTGACTTACCACAATACAATAATTTCTCATCAGACTTGTCCTTACAATGAGCTATGCCATCACAGGAAAGTTGGTAATCAATGCACTCACCATTTCCACATTCAAATTCAGAGTAGAAATTGCACGACATGTTTTTAGCTGAAAAAAAGAAAAGATATTCACTTCAAAGTTAATGGCATAAAAGCCAACTACAGTCTCAAAAATTTAGCCTTCTGAAGTAAGAGATATGGTTGACTAGGAGGGTGTATTCTTGTGCTAGAAATTGACGAAGCAGGAAAATCAGATGGTATCACTTTTCATTTCTCACAAATAAATTGTTAAATTTTCAATGAACTTTCCCTTCCCTCTATTAACATGGGACCCAAAAATAAGGAAGGAGAACTTGTCCTGATATGACAGCTTAAATACATTGTAGCTATGTATTTGAATCATTTCACATTCTATTTATTTAAGACAGTCATTTGGGAACGTTATACATGGAGATATATACTGACAGAGGTCGACCCCAAGGCCCCTAACTTGTGGGGTGCCACAAGGGTCGGTCCTCTCCCCCTTATTGTTCAATATTTATGTGAAGCCGCTGGGGGAGATCATCCGTGGCTTTGGGGCGGATTTCCATCAGTACGCTGATGATACTCAGCTGTACATTTCCACCCCAATGATGCCCTTGACGTGATGGCCCGGTGTCTGGAGGCCGTACGGGTCTGGATGGGGAGAAACAGACTCAGGCTCAACCCTTCCAAGACTGAGTGGCTATGGTTGCCGGCTCCCAGGTATAGTCAGCTGACTCCGTCGCTGACTATAGGGGGCGAAACTTTAGCTCCATCAGAGAGGGTACGCAATCTGGGTGTCCTCCTGGATCCACGGCTGACACTGGAAGACCAGTTGATGGCTGTGGCCAGGGGGGCGTTTTACCGGGTACGCCTGGTTCGCCAGTTGCGACCTTTTCTGGACCGGGATGCCTTGCGCACAGTTACCCATGCTCTTGTCACCTCCCGCCTGGACTACTGCAATGCTCTCTACATGGGGCTCCCCTTGAGGAGCACTCGGAGGCTCCAGTTAGTCCAGAATGCAGCCGCGCGGGCGGTGATGGGAGTGACTCGTCGCTCCCATGTAACGCCGCTGCTGCGCGAGCTGCACT